TTTGGATTTTTACTGATGTGTAAATAAAATGGAAAGATGAGTATTTGTGGAAATTTCTTTGTGTATTATGTGTTCATGCTCACGTTTAATTTTAAGTCTTAATATCAGGTAAAAGTAATGAAACTACCCAAGATATAATCTTGTTATTAAAGTGCTAAATAAAACTTGGGGGAAAAATTAGAAAACTTATATTAATTTATCTCAATATGGCCACAAAGTATTTCCTGTTGACCATTGTACAGTAGAACTACGGACCATAAGAACCGAGTGGTTGTATTTAAGCAGAGAAAGTATGTCTTTGAATCATCTGAAAATGTGTTGAAGGAATTTGATTCAGTACATACATATTATTTCTAGAGTAAAGTGTAATGTATATTCTATTAATGAAAATACCATTAAATTAGTAAAATTGTAGCTTAGGGATTTGTCCTATTATGTTTTGGAGATTATGATGTGAATCTTCCACTTCTGCCTGGTATTATATACAAGTGTACTTATTTATATGTGAAATTTCATATAAATGCCAATAATCGTTAATGAGCATGCTCATCTGTGTATTCATGTGGTTAGGGCAGCTGGACTCCCACAAGGCTGGCTTGACCCATGGTTCGAATCCTGGATGTGGCAGCTTGCTTTCTCATTTTCTTTCTCTCTGCCTCTCTCTGATCAACTTAAAAAAAAATTTAAAGTAATGACAATGAATAAAGATAAATAATTCTTAAAAAAAAAAAAAAAGGCAGGGCTGGCAGGTAGCATGGTGTTTAAGGCACTGGACTCCCACATAACCAATCACAGTTTGAGTCCTGGACCTGGAGGCTTCCCTTCTCACATTTTCCCTTTCTTTCTGTTTATTTCTGCTCAAATTAAAAAATTAATTAATTAATTTAAATAAACTAATTTTAAAAATAAGCCTTGTTTTTTTGGCCTCACTGTGGTGGAATAGACAGTCGGACAGTGTTGCACAGAGCTAGAGCTATACAGGAGGGCCTGCAGTTATTATTATTTTTTTAAAGAGCTTTTAGCCTTAGGGTAGATGAGCTCGCCAGGGAGAGAGACAGAGACAGTGAGAGGGAAAGTGAGAAGTCACCCCGCAGCGGGAATAGCCATGCTGCGATCTCTTCTCTTCCGTTCTCCTCCTGGGATCTCGGGAATGCATGTGCACACATATGCAAGGCTGAGTTTTAACCTCCCGGGTCCGGGACTCACAACCACGGTTGGCCATTGGCCCTGTGACAGTCCGGTGACGTAACCACTGTGCCATCTGCCAACCCCGTGGCCTGCAGTTCTGATCCTAGGTCGATCTACATATATTGGACACACTTGGGGCTGTGCTGTGATCCTGGCTGGCTGGAAGGCTTGGGACAAGGAGGCTCGCAATATAGGAAGACTCTGGTCCCGTCCCTCCTCTCCCTATTCCACTGCCTGCCCAGTCTACTCTTATGAAAGGGAGGGAGGCAGGGACCTTTTAAAAAGAAAACCATTTTCTGGCCAGCAGGTGGTGGTGTGGTGAAGACACTGGACTTCCACGTGGCCCATGTAGTTCGTCTTGGGTCTCGTGGCTTGCTTTCTCACTTGCGTGTGCATGCTCTGTCTCTCAGTCTTGCTCTCTCTCTCTCTCTCTCATGTCAAATTAAATAAATAACAATAATAAACACAACTAAATAACTTAGAAAAACATTTTCTTTTGTATAATATATGAATTAAAGCCAATTTAACAATGTAATATCCTTGAATTCCAATCTTGAAAGTGAAAGTTCTCCTATGGAAATAAACCCACACCTACTATAAAGTAGGAGCTGAAATGTAAGGTGTGTCATGAAGGAAAAGCTAAAAATACTGTGTCAAGGTGGTGGCAGATGGCATAGCATGGGGGTTAAGGGCGCTGCACTCCCACATGGCCAACTGCAGTTCAAGTCCTGGACCTGGTGCCTTACTTTCTCACTTTCCCTTGCTCTCTCTTTTGCTCTCTCTCTGGTCAAAATTTAAAATAAAGGGAGCCAGCAGTTAGCGTAATGGCTATGTCGCTGGACTCCCACGTAGTCAACTGCGGTTCGTGTCCCGGACCCGGTGGCTTAAAACTCACGCTGGGCACGTGTGCGTGCGTGCCCAAGATCCCGAGAGGAGAATGGAGGAGAAGGGATTGCGGCGTGACCATCCCCCGTGGGGGGTGATTTCTCGCTTTCTGTCTCTATGTCTCTCTCTGTCTGTCTGGCGAGCGCACACGCCCTACGGTGAAAATCTTCCCCCCCCCAAAAAAAAATAAATAAAATTAAATAATTATATCAAAAACACTGTGTCAGTATGGATAATTAGGGGTAGTCTACTTCCTTTCTGTCCAGTAACATTTAATATCTCATGTGTACCTAGTGTTCATATTTTTGCTTTTATTCTTTGAATGCACCCCAAAGCTAGTAGGTTTTCTGAAATTCCAACGTACTGCTAGTATTAGTTTTGTATCTGAAAATAAAGGGACTTGAATTGTTATTAGTAATCGTTAATTGTGCTATAAACCATTTCTTATCCGTATTATAATCTGAGTCAAATGTGACTCAAGTGGATCATTGTGTCATTGTATCATTTTATGATTTATCTTCCCCCCCTTTTTTGAGAGATTTTTGCTATATATAGGGTGCGTGTGCTCACCAGGGAGACAGAGACAAAAAAACAGAAAGTGAGAAATCACCAACCTCCCAGGGGGCATGGCCACAGGACAATACCTTCTCCATTCATCTCTCAGGATTTTGGGGCACACATGCACATGTGCTTGGTGTGAGTTTTAAGCCATTGAGCCTGGGGTCTGGCACCTGGACCATGGTCAACTACATGGAAGTCCAGTGACATAACCATTATGCCATCTGCTGGTCCCATTCCCCCCCTTTCTTTTTTTTAAGTTTTGAGTCCATGTACTTGTGGGTCAGGGGAGAAAGAAAGAAGAGAAGAGAGATCACTGTCCCCTCACTGAGAGGATGGCCATGCAGCAGTCCCTTCTCCTTAACCCCCCACCCCTTCAGTGTTCTGGGCATATACACAGATGAGCCCAGTGTGCTTTTTAAGCCATTTGGTCTGCCACTGGAATGGTGCAGTGGGCCATTAACCACTACCCTTCTGGCTCTCCCCTTCTGTAGTAATTTAAAATTCTGTTTTTCGGTCTTATTTTAAATATTTAACCACCTTTCTTTTTTAAGAATTTATTTTAACTTTGTTTGTTTATTTTTAATTTGACCAGAGAGAGACAGAGTGTGGGGGCCGGTGGGAAAACAAGCCTTTAGGTCCAGGACTCGAACCACAGTCGGCCATGTGGGAGTCCAGTGCCCTTAACCACAGCACTGGCCCCAGAACCATCACTTGTTTGAAAGTTTCAAAATACTGCAATTTTCTTGAGTTGCTGAAATTCTGGCAAATAGTTTACATTTTTATCCATTAAACTCAATGGTAAATATTAGGATGTGAATTTTGTGATCATGTATCTGTTATAACAAATTGTTACACATAAGCCTCGTGTTAGGTTCTGACTTGATCTGCACTGTATTTGAGAGAGGCGTGTTTAGCCCCTTAATTACAGCCTTACCGTAGTGTTTAGTGCACACGCACTCATTCCAAGGCACTTTAGATGCAGAGGTGCTCTGGTAAGCAGAACACGTGCAGTTGCTTTAGGGAAGACCAGCCCGTTACAGCCGAGTGTGTAGGTGTGGTTGGTACTGTGATACTGGCAGGGGCAGGGTGCTCTGTGAGCAAGTCAGGAAGAAGGCAGACTGGATGCTGACACTTGAGGGGTAATTAGGAGTTAGCCAGAGGAACAGTAAATGGAGGTGTATTTCTGACTTGAAGGCCCAGAGGCAAAAGATATTTGAATGGCTCTATGAGCAGAAGAGTGGAATATGGAGTAAGCATGGAGAAAATAGATTTGAGCGATAGACTAGCACTAGGTTAAGACTGTGGGCTTATGTAAAGGTAATGAAAGACCACTAAAGGGCTTTAACCAGGGCCAGGAGGTGGCATGGTGGTTGAAGTGCTGGATTCCTACGTGGCTGGCTGCAGTTTTGAGTCCCAGACCTAGCAGCTTGGCAGTCATAACAAACAGATAAATAAATAAATGTTTTTTAAAAATAAACTTTAACCGTACTAGTGATATTAATCCTTTGTTTTTGTTTTTTTTGTTTTTGTTTTTGTTTTAATTAGCTGTAGGGCACAGTCGTTTACTGGAGAAAGAAAGAGGGAAAGTGAGAAATCACTCTGCAGGGACGATGGCTATGTTGCAGTCCCTTCTCCATTCTTCCCGTGGGATTTTGGAGGGACATGCACACATACTCGATGTGATTTTTTTTTTTTTTTTTGAGAGGTTATTGTTATAGGGCACATGCGTTCTCCAGAAAGCAAGAGACAGACAGAAAGCAAGAAGTCATCCTCTAGGGGGATGGCCACGCCACAGTTCCTTCTCCATTCTCCTGTTGGGATCTTGGGAACGCACGCACACGGGCCGGGCATGAGTTTAAGCTACCGTGTTCGAGACTTGAACCGCATGTACTCACAAGAGAGACAGAAAGTTGATAATTGAACCACAGTCGGCCATGTGGGAGTCCAGCGCCTTTAGCTACCTTCCGGTCCCGGCCCCATGTTGTTATTTTTTCATTTCACCAGAGAGAGAGAGAGCAAGAAAGCAAGTCATCAGGTCCAGGACTCAAACCGTGGTCAGCCATGTGGGAATCCACCACACCATCTTCTGGCCCTCATCTGTATTTTCATTGTATATACTACTTTATGTATCAAATGGATTTTTGACTCTTGTACTATTCATATACTATTATGTTAGGTAAATTGTAAGTACCTAGTAATTGTTGGATTTGTTTAAATAGGGAACATTTATTAAAATATTTGTCAGTGACAAAATTCAGCTTATTGAGTACTTTTTTCTTTAAGTTGAGAAATTCATTCTCAATCTATTTAAACTATATATATGTTATTTCTGTTACTTTAAAACTCAGTTGTGCTTTGTGTTCCAGGTCCGGTTCATCACTAAAATATGGCACCCTAATATTAGTTCCGTCACAGGGGCTATTTGTTTGGATATCCTGAAAGATCAATGGTAAGAGATTTTAAATTTTCCTTCTCTCTTTTATATCGAATACCAAGACTATAAGAGTATAAAATGTATAATTGCCTTAGAACATAGCATGGATCGAACTTTATTTTATTTGGATAGTACCTTTATAAAGTTTCTTAAATACATAATTGAAAATTATATTTGAGTTCACAGTCTGTATTTATTTTTGAGAGAGATTTTTGCTTTAGGGCCTGCATACTCACTGGAAGGACAAAGACATAAAGTGAGAAGTCACCCCATTCGTCCATTCTCCTCTCAGAATTTGGGCACGCACTCACATGCACCTGGTGTGAATGTCAAGTTGCTGGGTCTGGGACTTGAACCACAGTCGATTATGTGGGAGTCTATCACCTTAATCACTGTGCCACCTGCTGGCCCACACAGTCTGTGTTTAAGTAGATACTTGCTAGGTAATGTCAGATGCTAGTTTTACATTTAGAAAACTCTTACATTTCATTTGTTAAATTGGTAAATTTGGTGGGGTTTTTTGTTCGTTTGTGTTTTGTTTTGCTATCTTATGAAGGTATTTGTGAAAGACTTAAAAAATGAAAAGTAAGTAATAATCATTTGCCACCCAAATACAATGTAAGCAACAATAAGAGATTATGTTAATTGAGCATAGGGAAAGCCTTAAATTCTGAGTATCATTGTAGGTAATAACATAACATAGTGCCTCCACTTGATATATCTGATTTGATCTTAGTATTGTAACTGCTAAGAGAGAGAAAATCACTCGGGGGGATGGCCATGCTGCAGTTCTTTCTTCATTGTCTTTTTGGGATTTTGGCATGCCTACCCAGCATGCTCTTCAAGCTGCTGGGTCTGAGACTTGGACTGCTCAGTTGACCCCCTGAGATTCAACTGCCTTAAACCAGCATGCCTTCTGATGAACCCTCGAGTGCTTTTTTGTTTGTTTTTGTTTTAAAGAATGATTTTTTTTTATTTAACTTTCTTTCTTTCTTTCTTTAAATTTGACTAGAGATGGACAGAGTGAGAGAGAGAGAGATAGACAGACAGAAAGTGAGAAAGCAAGCCGCCAGGTCCAGGACTCGAAACACAGTTGGCCATGTGTTCATGGAAATCAGTGCCTTTAACCAGCATGCCACCTGCCAGCCCCTTTTAAAAAATTGTTTTAAAGAATTATTTTATTTAGTTTGATTGATTGATTGATTGATTTTAATTTGCCCCAAAATGGACAGAGTAAGAGAGAGGAGAATATGAAAAAGCAAGTCGCCAGGTCTGGGTCTCTAACCGTATGTGAGAATCCAGCGCACTTAACCATCATGCCACCTGGCAGCCTCCTGGAGTGTGTAAGCATTCTTGCTTTGGAGCCATGTTTCAGATCCGGGCTCCACCATTTTAGGGTACCTGGTCATGAGCAAATTACCCATTGTCTGTGGGTATTTGTTTACTCATCCTGTAAGATGGGCTCGAAACCTACGTCATAGGGCCAAGAAGACTTAAATGAGCTGGTTTATGTAATTTTCTTTAAGTAGAACCTGGAATGCTCGGTGATGAAGATGATCGTGACGATGGTGTAGTCGAAAGATAGGTGTTATTATGACATGATTCTGTGAATGAGAAAACTAAAACGAGGTATGAAATCGCACTGGAGTGGGGAAAAAATCAAATTAGGAAAGATTAAGTTAATACATGTTACAGCCTTTTCCTCTGATTTTACTCTTTTGTAAGAGAAGGAATAACAAAAGATAAAATGGAAGATGTTAAGAATTTGCAAAGCAGGGCTAGCTTGGTGTTGTGGTAATTAAGGCAACTGGATTTCTTATGACCGACTGTGTGGTTCAAATCCCAAACGCAGCAGCTTGAAAAAACACACTGGGCGTTTGTCCTAAGAGGAGAGTAGAGGAGAAGGGATTGCAAAATAACTGTTCCTTCATAGAGGGGTGATTTCTTTTTCTGTCTTTCTTTCTCTCTCTCTAGCACTTGCACCTTATAGCAAATTGGGAGAAAAATAAAGAATACACGAAGCCAAGACTGTCCAGGGGCCAGCAGGTGGCACAAGAGATGTAGGTGTTGGATTCCCGTGGCCAACCGTGGTTTGAGTCCAGGCAGCTTGTTTCCTCCCTTTCCTTTTTTCTCTCTTGTCTCTCTCTCTCTTTCTGGTCAAATTAAAAATTAATAATAGGGACCAGCCGTTGGCGTAATGGCTATGTCGCTGGACCCCTATGTGACCTACCACGGTTCGAGTCCCAGACCCGTTGGCTTAAACTCATGCCGGTCTCGTGTAGCGTGCCTGCCCAAGATCCCAAGGGGAGAATGGAGAAGGGATTGTGGTGTGACCATCCCCCCCAGGGGGCTGATTTCTTGCTTTCTGTCTCTTGTGTCTTTCTGGCGAGCGCACACGAGCTATAGCAAAAACCTCTCCCAAAAGAGAAAAAAAATTAATAATAACAGAAAGTTAAATAAGTAATTATAATTTTAAAAAGACTAACCTGTCTACCTAATCTTCCGAAAATTACATATTATTGTCAGTACTATAATTTTTTAAGAATTACATTTTAGTTTTATTTATTGTTATTATTATTTGTTAACTTGACCAGAGAGAGAAAAAGCAAGAGAGAGAGAGAGAGTGAGAAAGCAAGCCTCCAGAACTGGGACTTGAACCACAGTCAGCCATGTGGAAGTCCAGTGCCTTAGCCACCACACCACTTGCCAGCTCCTGAAATATTTAAATTGCCAGGAGGCATAGGCATTCACCAGAGAGAGAGAGGGAAAGGGAAAAAGTGAACACGCTTCCCCCTTGTTGGGGTGTGGCTATGCTGCAGTTAGTTTCTCTCAATTTCTCCGTCATATCAGCACTGGGGGCACAAACGTATGGGCCAGCATGTCTGTTAAGCCATTGTGGCTGGGTCCAGACCACAGCCGGTCATAGGATCCAGCTGCATGTGCGTAGCATCTAAGCTCTGTGCACTGTTTGGCCAGCCCAGTACTGTACTTTGTTTTCTTAGTTGTTTTCCTGTGTAAAAAATTTTACCCAAAGAAATGATGCTGGAGAGCACGTGCAACCCCAGGGAGAGACAGAAGGAAAACAAGGAAGCATCCCCATGGAGGAGGACCGTGCTGCCGTTACCTTCTCCATCTTGCCTTTCAGGGTTCTAGGCACGTAAGCACGCGTGCCCAGTGTGTTTTCCAAACTGTGGAGTCTTGGACTCAAACGGCACAGCCAGTCCTGTGAAGTTAGCTGCTTCAGTGACCACACCACCAGCTGGCCCCAGTGCCAGACAGACAAGAGAGACAGAAAGTGAGAAATCACCCCCCAGGGGGAATTGTCACGCCGCAATCCCTTCTCCTCCATTCTCCTCTTAGGATCTTGGGGACGCGAACCGCGATCGACTATGTGGGAGTTCAGCGACATAGCCATTACGCTACCTTCTGGTTCCCAATATATATATTTTTTAAATTTAATTTTCTTCCTCTTTTTTTTCAAGAGATAAGTTTTGGGGAGTAGCAGGTGGCATGGTGGTTGGGGCACTGGGCACTCCCACATGGCTGACCATGGTTCAAGCCCCAGACCTGGCAGCTTGCTTGCTTGCGCTCTCTCTCATCAAATTAAAATAAAATAAATGAATAAATAAAATTAAACAATTCTTTTTTTTTTTTTAAGAGAAGTTTTGCTATAGGGCACATATGCTCGCCAGAGAGACAGAGAGAAAGTACCAAATCACCCCCCTGGGGGAATGGCCATGCCCCAGTTCCTTCTCATCTATTCTCCTCTTGGGATTTTGGACACACATGTACACGCACCCAGCATGAGTTTTAAGCTGGGACTCAAACTGTGGTCGACTACTTGGGAGTCCAGCGATATAACCATTATGCCATCTGCTAGTCCCTTTTTTATTTGTTTTATTTTATTTTATTTTATTTTTTAATTTGACCAGAGAGAGAGAGACAGGGAGAGGGAAAGTGAAAAAGCAAAGCCCCAGGTCGGGGACTCAAACTGTAGTTGGCTATGTGGGAGCCCAGTGCCTTTTCCACCACACTACCTGCCAGTCCTCAATATTGTAAATTTTAAGCAGTGTCGTTAATTGTTTAAAAGGAAAAGGAAAATCTGAAACAGGAAAGACAGTATTTTGTGTGTGGGTAATTTGGTTTATGTGGTCACTGGACAAAAAGAGTTTTTTCTTTTTCTTCCCCTAGTAGTGTTTCTGCGGAAATCCTATCTCTTCGTAGGTCATCTCTTGGCATCTTGTTTCTTGATAAATTAGGTTGTTTGGAAAGTCATAATATATTTTTCTATGCAAAACTGTATCGTGACTTCCCTGGCAGTGCAGGATATTCCATGCTGTCAGACATCGGGCATTGGGAAATAGACGTAACTTATGTTTTCTGTAACTCGATTGATGTCCTTGCCAGCTTATTGAACTTGTGGACTTAGTGTTTTTTAGCTGACCCATTATTTGCGAGGTCCTTTGCGGTTGTGAGATTCAGTAGTATGAATGCATGTTTGCAGTATTAGAAGCTCTATTTTTCACTTGACTTCCAGGTAATGAGTTAGTCAGGTCTTCCCTCTATGCTTAAATAGTTCTCCCTTCCCTCTTAGGTCTTTGCACATTAGAAAGCCTCTGTTATACATCTGGAACCCCTGCTCCTTTCTCTCTGCCCTCCCTTCCTTGGTACTTTCATCTGCTTGCGTAACCTCACCCTGTGTGCTGGCAACTCACACGTTTGTCTTTCCTGAATTCCAGACTCGTATTCTCTTGCCTGCTTACTGTCTAGACTTAGATGTGTAATGAACATCTCAAAACATGTTCACAACTCAATTGATGCTCCCCTAACCTCAAACCTGTATTTTCTTTGTATAGTCGTCCCCGTGTAAGTTGTTGGCGGCTCTGTATGCTTGCAGTTGCTCAGGTCTCGTCTCCTTATGACCCTTCGATTTTCTTTCTCTGGTGTCCTGTACTCGGCAGATGTTTGTGAAACCTCCAGAATCTTACCAGCAGCTTCACTGCTACCAGCCTGGC